AGAGTCCAATCTTTCTTCAAGCCGATTTAAATTCCATCTATACAATTTTTTTTTAACATGTAGCGCAAACTTTTCGCTTTCGACACGTAAAATCAGAAATTCTTTATTTTGACAAAAAATTTGGTCAAACATGTTTGTGCTAATCCCCTATATCGCTTAAGCACCTTCGTCCAATCAGCAAAATTTGTGCGATTGAATAAACGCAATTTAAAAACAAGGAAAAAAATCCCAGCAACAACAGCAAATTCACAGCAGGTTTTACACAGCATAAAAATCGAAAGCCGGCGCCGAGCGAATCGAGTGCCATTAAAAAGACCAAAAACTTAAGCGCAAGTAATAAACTACAAAACTGAAAATGCACTTTAGTGTATCCTCTATCCTGTCCAAATGCTGAAAATTCAATGGAAAAAGTCACAGAGTAATAAAAATACAACCGTGTTCGCAACTGTGTCAGCAGAAAAAAACATCAAACTCGATTTTTAGCGCACATTTTTCAAGCCAAAAGTCCACTGAACCTTAAATCGAAGACATAAAAAACAAAGCGCGCTGAAAACTTGCAATTTATTAAATCGATAATAATAAAAATAAAAAACTCGTTTTTATTTTTGGTAGTCAACAAATATGTTTTAACAGCACTTAAAGTCAACCTGTGTTGTGTAGTATGCGACGGTTTGAGAAGTTCTCCCAGGAGTGTGACGAAAAACAAGAACCAGTTATATATTAAATATATGTACTAAAAATAATATAAACTATTTGTAATCTGGACAACTTTAAACTGAATACTTCCGAAAAGTATATCGATTTTTACATATATCGCTTTCACTGTAATTGTGCTTGGTTCAGTAAACACGACAATTTACTGTAGCTGAAATGTGGCACAAGGCGCACCCCACTTTGACACTAAACTTGCAAAGTAACAAAATGAGATTTCGTCGAAATACCATAAAAAGAAATGAGCTAGCATTCTCGAGCATTGTGGTAGCATCTCTTGAAAGCGCAAGCAGCACAATGCACTGGGGGTTGAGTATTCTACACGCGAATCAAGGACCGCAGCCAGGCGATATGACAAAGCAAAAGTTGAGAAAAGGCAAGACAATGACTAAAGTATATCGATTTCACCTAGTTTTGGATTGAAGATGCTCTCCATGTAGTCTTTGACTGAGAGACGCTTATGTTCGTTCGAATGCTTATTTTTTCTTTTGGATTGATTTTTGTTTGCGTGCATTGCAAATAGTAAAACTAAAAATTAAAGCTTTGGCTTAATGAAAAAGTTAAAATAAGAGCAAACTTGTTATGTCAACGAGAATTTATATTTTTTACAATCAGTGTTCTAATTTCGAAAGAAAAGAAATTAATTTTGCGCTTTTAAAACTTAAATTTAAATATATATATTATACATCTTATATATTTTGCATTATAACGTACGATATTACCTCGTTTTTAAACTAAGAAAATACTATTTCACATATCAATAATTTTGAACAATCGAATAGAGTAGACCAGAAATGATTGATGATTATATTTAAGAAATTTTTAATGAAAATATAAGCTTTAAATGGTATTATGTTAGCTTCATTTACACACTGTATACATTTTCTATTTATAGTGGTATTAATTAAAGGTTTCAGGGAATTATTACCACACACATAAGAGCCGCAAGGAATATTTGCCCTTTAGGCGTTTATGCGTGTGCAGATTGTAGCCAGAAAATATGATTAAATTTATGCGAGCCGAGCACAACATGAGAGCTGTTGACTGCTGCAAAGAGACATGCCCCAAGCGGCATACAAAAAGGGGTGCACGTTTAGGCAGATGAAACTTGCCACTTGCCACTTGCCTCTTGCCGTGGAATGTCTATATTTTTGACACTCAGTATTCAGATTTATCCCGCTGCAAATAAGTGCCGCGCTGGCAATGGGGTAAATATGCTACCAGGACCGAGGCGGGGGCAGCCAGCATGTGAATTAAAACATGTTCAAGTTATTAACAAGCCCCGAAAGTCGCATTAGTTTTTGCCAGTTACAGCTCTTGTCTTCGTATTTGTTATGCGCGCCTCGACAACCCCCCTCCCCCCTCTGCATGTTGCAGGACGTACATAACATTTGTTTCTATTTATTTGCACAAAATATTTACATTTGCTGAAATTATGCGGCAAAAACATGAAGGAAGCGAGGCAAGGCCAGCAACTACATATTTAACAAGTTTTTAGGCAACATAGAAGACAGTTGCCGTTTCTTTATGCGCTTTGTACGCGTGGAGGCGGAGGAAGGAGGGTGTGAGAAAAGGTGGGGGCGTGGCAAGTTTTTGTATGTCTGTTGACTTCTCGGTGCTGTCATAAAGTTTTCGGGTAAGTAGCACCCCCGGGTGCAGCGACATGCAAACAGTACACAGACGTCGCCATTGCTGTCAGATCCGCCATGTTGAAATACCATCAAAAGTTTTTACTTGAGGTTTTACAGCTAGGGTTTCTACTCTTTTTTCGTACAAGACAAGTTTTAAATGCTGTTTGCATGTCGCGCGGCTGTCAAGCCTTTTGCCCCCGCAAATTGCTGTAATTTCGCGCCTCATTTGCAAGTAGCAGCAAACTATTTATTTGAAAATATTTTAAAGGCTACACGAACTACAAGTTTTCACTAGAAGAGTAATTTCATAAATTTGCCTCCTTACAAAAATGTATCGAATAAAAAAAACTGAATTAAACTTTGCCGTTTGCCAGCATTTATTGAAATTATAAAAATTGTATTTAAACAAAAGCGAAACTATTTCAATCTTTTTTTCAATCACTAATACTACAAGTACTTGCTCTTTTATGGCATATTTACACTGTTATGTGCTAAGATTGTCATAAAAGAAAAAGCAAACCACAAAGAAGTGCTTCGAGTAAGTCGAGGTCCACTGGGAGAAGTCAATCTTGAATATTTCTCTATTTATAAACGAACAATGGTTTAATCAACTGGTTGTATAACAAAAACCGTTATCAAAGTATATTTAAAGCTTTATCGTACAAATATATGCAATATATGAATATTCAATGTCATCTGGCGAGAAGTTTTGGAACAATTTTCCAAATTTCAGCGAAAGATTTGCGGCTGTCATTTATGTGTTAAGTTTCGCAAAAGCGTTGTGATTTTGTGACTTTAACTGTGGGGCAACTGAACTGTGTGCGTGGGCGTTGGCTGCGGCTTAAACACAGTCATTAACTTTACACCTGACTAAAAACTGACTACTGACAGCAGCAACAGCGAATGAAACTCATCGAATTAGCGAGCATGGTGTGAATGTGACTTTGTGCGGCAAGCAGACTTTAAATAGATATTGACATTGCTGAGCGAGAGAGATAGAGAGAGAGAGGGAGAGAGAGAGAGAGGAAATAGGACAGAGATCGCTACAGATTGAGCAAGTTGATGTGGCAAGTTGGGCATGTGGCATTCATTGTCTGTGACTCGTGTCATGCCTGGCGCTATTTATAAAAGTCAGTGACACAGTAACTTGCTTCTGCCTTGGCCTGCCTATCCTCTAAGCGGAGTATGGCGCTCGTTTTGCCACTTCTAACATTCAGACCTCCATTCCCCACACGCAACTCTTTTTCCGCTTTGCTAAGCAAGTTCTTTTGTTCCAGTATATATGGTATATTTATATATAAAAAAAAAAACGGAAGAAAAGACTGGCCAAAAAAAATACAGTTTTATATACATGCACGAAGAATTCATGGGTCATATTCCTTTTGTTATCTTTGTTGTTGTGGCTTTTGTTCAGGCTTGCCATGTGGCAAAGCTTTTGCTGCTGCTGCTGCTGCTGACTCGAGCAGATACATGCACTCAGATACATGTGGTATGGATATGTATCTACCCAAGATACTGCTGCTGCACTAGATATATATCTCTATATGTGTGTGTGTGTGTGAGTATCAGTGATGAATGCATTTTGAGTGCAATTTTGTATTCTTAGTTGAATTAAATTTGTAAAAGTGGAGCAGTGGAAAAGCATGAGCTTGGCCTAGAAAACTCGACTCGAGGGCTTGGCCTACAAGACAATACCGTCAAGTATTATATTCAAATATTTAAGTTTTTATTACAGCATATTAAATTCGATTTATTATTTACCTTTTTTAACTTCCAATTTTTGATTTTAAACCAACAAAAATCTGTTTTTGATTAACGTGTTTTCCTTCCTATTTATTTGTCATTTCTATGTTCCTCATATCTTTCTTATCTCATCGTTTAACAACAGTTAAAGTGTTACTACCTTTTCACATGTGCAACCTTTCCAACAATATAGATATCTGTCAAACTGTAAGCGGTATAAATCCCTACATTTACCCAACTCTTACTTTTCGCTCCTTAATACCCTCGTACATGTATACACTCAACCTTTTTACGCTTTTGACAAAGTTGCCTGCATTGATTTTGTTTGTGCCTGAAAGTGAAGAAAAGTGCTGAGCTCAGAAACGTTCCCAATAGCTGAGGTTCTGCGTGTCTGCGTTGATATTTTGGGACCGACATTCAAAAGAGTTGTTTCCCAGTAATTTGCCTATTTTCGGCTTAGACGCTCATTTGTCTTGCGCTTTCGACAAACAAATCCGTTCCAAGACCCTGTTTACCTATACTCTAAGACACTTGACAGGCATCGTTTTTTTTTTCGTCGAAAACTTACCCTTAAGACATTCATGTCAATTTTGATTAATGACCGATGTGTCTTGAATTGAAGCCAAAGCCTTTACAACTGGCCATTTAAATGCAAATTATCGAGTTGAAAACTTGGCAAAAATCAATCGACGAAATTTAACTCGATAAAAGCCATAAAATGCAGCGACCATTACAAACAGTTATCTGCTCCGCTGGCAACCCCAATTATTATACAATTGTTTTCCTTCTTTCTTTTTTTTAGCTGAAAACAATTGAACTAAAATTATGAGCAACTGCAATTTCAGACAATCGTTAACTGCAATTGAATACTTAGTTTGTAATAATATTTTTTTCTCTTTTCTAATTACTTTGCAGTTGGTTCCCGGGATTCCACGAGCAGTGGCGGCAACTCTGCTGGCAGTGGGAGCAGCTCTTCGTCTTCCTCAGCAACTGCTGGCCCCACCAAGTATCCGGTGCTGGTGTTTGTGCATGGTGAATCGTACGAGTGGAACAGCGGCAATCCATATGATGGCTCTGTGCTGGCCAGCTATGGTCAAATATTGGTGGTAACCATAAATTATCGCCTCGGCGTGTTAGGTAAGTGCTTGCACACTCAAATGCTAATACTAATTGATATGCTGCCTGCCACCATCGACGACTAAGTGCAACGAAACGAGCCAAACGTGTACAACGTCCGATTCGCTCTTAAGTCACTGCTGCAACCGTTGCACTTCCGCTCAACAGCAGCAGCAATGGGGCGAATGCTCATTCAATAATCTAACTAATTTTGTTACAATGTAGTGGAAAAATTGATATAAATCACAGTGGAACTCATGCGACTTAAAATAAATGAAATATTTCGTAGTCTAGCCATTGATATTATTTAATAAACATAATTAAATTAATATCTTCTCAAAAAAAATAATATTTATTTTCTGCAGAATTTTTATTATTTCTGTATTTTGTATTTGTAGATCTAATTTTAATAGGTTTAATTTTTTGGTTTGTTGAAAAAAACAACAAGTACAAAAAGTACCCACGGTAAAAATTCAAATGCACTCCATATTAGTGTGACCTCAATTTCTAGAACTGGTAGGCAGACCCACCTACCGGCCCATCATTCAGACCTTTGCCCACTGCTGCTGCTGCTGCTGCTGCTACGGAAACGGAAGTGCTGACATCATGATTTGCACGCGTGACTGTACACATTTTCACAAGTGTTGCGTCCATGTGTCTGACATTTTAAATAGCTGCGAAAAACACGTCCAGCAGCCAGACTCGATTAAATTTTCATTTGCTGCCATTGATGCAGCTCCAGCTAATCTAATGAATTATGACCGCGTCTATTTGCAGGCTTTCTAAATGCGAATACGGACCGCTATTCAAAGCTGCCCGCTAATTATGGGCTGATGGACATAATTGCGGCGTTGCACTGGTTGAAGGAGAATATTGCGGCCTTTGGCGGAGATGCCAACAGCATTACACTTGCCGGGCATGGCACCGGTGCGGCTTGTGTGCATTTTCTCATTTCATCCATGGCCGTGCCTGAAGGTAATTTCAAAACCAAATCGAAATTCCATTCAAATCCCTTATCACTCTTCAACTTCTTCTTCTTAGGACTGCTCTTCAATCGTGCCATGCTCATGTCTGGCTCGGGGCTGGCGCCCTGGTCCCTGGTTAGTAATCCGGCCAAGTATGCCGCAATTGTAGCACATCATGTCAACTGCGCCTCGGACTTGCCGCACGCCCATCTGATGAAGTGCCTGCGTGAGAAGACACTCGAGCAGCTGCTGAGTGTACCGATACGACCACCAGAGTTTGGCTTCGCCTTCGGACCCAGCATCGATGGCGTTGTCATCGATGGCGGCGACTATGTACCACCAGCACCCGGCTCCCCAGCCGCCCAGGCTCAGGCGCAGGCATCGACTGCCGCTGGCAATGGGCTGGGAGGTGAGGCTGGCATTGCTGCAGCTGGCGGTTGGGGAACGCCAGGTCAATTGGAGAATATCGGTGAGTGGACATTGAAGAGCTTTTCTATTGAGCACTTATACACTTAAAGACTAAAATAATTATTGCTGATATATTGTAGACAAAAGTGTTTAATTAATTCGCATATAATTTTTAATTAATGATTATATAAATAATTGCAAAATATATTTCTGAAAATTCAAAATAAAAAAGATCCTTTTAAGTTTGATTTTTCCACTTAATTCAAATGTGTTTTACATGACAATATTTCCTATATGTATATACATAAGAGTATTTAAGGTGCGGCTTGTCGAATCTTAACCCAATTCTTATTTACAAATTCTTAATCAAATACATTAAAATCCAATGCGTTTCTGTCATTTCCATTTTGCCGAACCTCTCGACGCTGCTGCTGCTGCTGCTGCTGATATCACTGACGACGACGTGCACTTGTGAACTGCCATGTTTGTTGGCGCCATTAACACGCACACACTCACACACACACACACACACTATGCACACCTGTGCGCAAATACGCGTGTGTGTTGGCGTTTTTAATTAATGCAGTATTAATGAGAAAAACAGCCATTAACAAGTTGTCAAGGTAAGTTTTGTGCGGCTTGGTTCGGCTCAGCTCTGCCTCCCCAACGTTGCTTAATTATTTTTGCTTTTAACCACATACGCGCACTCCCACTACTGCAATGGGGTTTGTCCAAAAGTATGCAACGTAATTAATTTAAAGTTTCGACTCTGCCGACTTTTGCGTGCTGTTCAAAGATTTTATCTCGCAGCGGCGAACATTCAAAATGGCGTCAGCTTAGGTAGCGATAAGCTTTGGGCTTACGACACACAGTTGACCGTACTGCACAACACACGTAACACACACATACACACACACGGCACACATTCACTTCGTTATTAATTTATGCACATTAGCCATGCAAATGCGCGACTTCGTTTTGCAATACAATTACAACATGCGGGTCTGGGGAAAGGCTGCCGTATGCTGGCTTGTGGGCACGTCTTATTGTTTTTGGCACTGCTGCTTGATTTATGCACTTTGTGCTGGCGAATTTCGCATTGTTAATACATATCATTAACAGCTAATTAGCTGCGATTTCAGAATTAATGTACAACCGCGCATGTAAAAGCTACAAATCTAACAGGTTTGGAATGCTATTAAAAACCACTCAGTAAGAATATAAAGCAACAATAGAGGAAACACTATTTTAATAAATAAAAACAATATTTTTATTTAAAAACAATAAATTAATGGATTTTGTAACATAAATTTAATTTAGTACATTTAGGTTAACCACCATAGATGTATTTAATTACAAATTAAGTTATGTTTGTATTTCAAGTGACATTTTCGTTTACTAAATACTAATTAGCATACACAATTTACATGAAGTTAGAAACAAATTAGTACGCGTCACACGCAACAATAAATTTTATTTTATGCAGAATTAATAAGCACATTTATAAATGGCTAAAGGGAAGAAGACTGTTAATTAATTTATGCGAATTAATGAAATTTATAAAGATAAGTTAAAGTGCTCAGAAATGAGCATACTTAGAAATGTCTTATATGATGCCCTAATGAGAGAGAAAATAAAAAAGTAAATTTAAGAGTGATGTTAGTGCTAAATAATAAAATAACGAAAAATATAAACACCTTTTTACCAGGGAGTGCATGCGATACTTGTCGCCTTACATATATGAACTTAAATAATGTTGTATAGCTGCCAGCCACTCGGACCATTTCCTTTGCAACGCTTTGTAAGCTGTCAGTAACCAAGAGGCTATTAATTCCACAACTACGACAGAAGTGTAAATATTGCTTTGTGCACACTTAAAAGTAATTTGTTTCGAGGCAACTGAAATGCAGACTCAAAACCAGACACATGTCTCCAAATAACTTTAACATAAAGTATACACACATTGGAATGCCAGCTCAATATGTTTCTTAGGAATTTCATTAAACACATGCAGAAAGAGCACAAAATACAACATTTCGCAAACACATAAAATCAAAGAAATAACAACAAATACCAGAAAATATAACAACAAAAACAGCAGAGCAAATACAAAAACTTCATCAATGCAAATTTGCCAAAAATAAATTAAGAAGTGCAACTCGAGAAATGTTGAAGTTACTGAAAGATTCCTTTTATTATTGGTGCGAACTACCCACAATATTCTGAATAGCTCTCGAGTTTACAAATCCAATTTGAACATTTTTGTTGCAACTTTTAACTGATGAATTAGTTTTGCAAACCTTTTTGACAACATTTTCTTATCATTTCTATATCTAAATTATACAACACGTAACCAAATCGAAGTGGCTGTAGTTTATGGGAGCGAGCAACCCTTTTTTGGCATATCCATAAATTGGAAGATACACGTTCTTACTCACTCACTGCTCATTTACAGATACGACCTGATGGCTGGTGTGACACGTGCTGAATCCTTTTTCAGCTTCAATTCCGGCGACGTACAATATGGCATCGAGGCGGATCGACGTTCCAGAATTTTAAAGGCCTACGTACGCAACACGTACACATTTCATTTGAACGAGATATTCGCCACGATTGTCAATGAATACACGGACTGGGAACGGCCGGTGCAGCATCCAATTAATATCCGGTGAGTAATTGCGTTTGTTCCACGTGAACCCGTTGTTATACCCCCACCCCCTGCCACCCTATTGCGAAACAGAAGGGGTCTGAGCATTGTTTCGTCCTGCGGCAGTGATTGTAGTGCTCCGCCAAATAAATATTTCGTTCTTAATTAAATGCGAGCTGCTACGTTCTTACCTCCTTTTGGACGGGGCTGGTGCTTTTCAATTAAAGTGGCTTAAGTGAATCTTGATTTCAATCTTTTGGCAGGTGAAATGCAAATTTGTTGCCTGCCTGCCTGCCAGCTTGAGTTCACTGTCATTCCTTATAAGTAATGACTGAGCTTTAGAGCTCAATGCACTGCATTCAATGTTCAATTCAATTTAATAAAAAATTGCATATATGCAATCATAAATGATTTGCTTTCGAACTTATCAATATTTATGTTTGCGTCTACGCCAAAGTGCAGTCCACAACAACAGCAACAACATACATATATATAAATTGACTTTTGTATTGCATTTGCATTTTGCTAGGCATTTTATGTTTGCTGAATTTTCGATGTCATCACGGGTTTATTCATTGAATGCATAATTTAATAAGCATACAATTTTTGTCATTTTCTATGAAAAATACAAAAAAGAAAGCAAAAAAATTGATTTCCTTATATTGCGCCCACATTGTACACATAATATGTATTCTTTTTACCCCAATGCCCGCCAGAGCCATGCAAAAGTTTCAGCTGATGTGCAAACGTGCGTTAAGTTGCCTGCAATGAAGCAGCAAACGGTTCACGCTTGATCTCTAGCTGGGTGCTCAATAGGGGTTGCAAATAGGCGGTGTGGTGAGGATGTGGCTGTATCAAAGAGAGTCGTGCGCATATTTCAAATGGATTTTCTAAAAAGTCAACGATAAATGCAATCAATATAAATATTTATATATGTGAGATTGAGTTTTCAATATGCGCATCGCGTGGCCAGATTAACAAGTTGAATTTTTGATGCCAAATCTAGTTTAAAAAGTATTTTAAAGACTGCTTCAAATATTCAAATGAACTGTAAAAATGTCTGTTGGAATTTAATAAATTAGATAAGCAATGCCTGTGAATAAAAATAAATCAGTTACCATTAAACACAACACACACATTTCAGAATATAATATAAATTTCCAGATTCGTACTCCACTCAATAATTCGTACAAAGCTCTTCTTTTATGTAAAACCCGTGTTTTTTTTTATAAATATTTCCACATGTGACAACCATTTGTTTTTGTTTTAAATAAATAATATGTAAACAAAACCTATTCTCGATTACATTCAGTGAATTTTAAGAGTCCTCCACGACGGCGGCTGCAACAATAAAATTTACTGCCATTGACAAGGAAAAATATTTATACATATATTAAATGTACTTTTGTGCTAGCACATAAAATAATATAGAAAGAAATAGCAGGATGCAGCACTAGCTGCTGTCACTGCGGTGCAGCTGAGCAGATACGTATGCAAATGTGGCAAATGGTTTTTATTCAAATTTTTCGTCAGTCATTTCGGGGGACGGTGGAAAAAACAAGCAGGAAAAACATGAGAAAGTCAAAAATAATGCAAAGCCAAAAGAATATTTTTCCTAAATAGGCTTAGTAAACGTTGATGGCACTTCAAGGCAGCTGCTTTGTAGGGGCGGAACGGTGGTATATAGTTTATCAGGTAAACAGCGAGTTGTTCAGAGAAAAAGGCACTCAAAGTGGCTTGTTAGTTGTACACTTGAATGCAACTCGATGAGGCAAATAGGTGATAAATTGCACTACAATAAATTGTCATTTGCTTTTAACACTTGCGTCTCTTTCATCCTCTATGTATATGTATCTCGCAGCGATGAAACACTAGAGGCTTTAAGTGATGCACAGGTGGTGGCTCCAGCAGCTCAAACTGTCGATTTGCATTCTGCAGATCATCGCAACTCATATTTATATGTCTTTGATTATCAGACACGTTTCGGTGATTATCCGCAGGTGAGTTATAGCACATACATATATTTTAGAGTTCAAATTCATTGCATGGCACCCATTTAAAAATTCAACCTCAACATCCATGCTACTAAATTCGTTTTCATTTATGCAGCGTCAGGGCTGTATTCATGGAGAGGATTTACCATATATCTTTGGTGCACCACTCGTCGGCGGTTTGAATCATTTCACTCGCAACTATACGAAAACCGAAATCAGTCTATCGGAAGTTGTAATGTTCTACTGGTCCAACTTTGTGCGCGCTGGGTAAGTGTTGATTGGGTCTGCGGTCGTAACGACCTCAACTGTGTATATACATTCCACAACAACTACTTTTCCACCACCGCACCCACAATTTACGCACACACATTCAGCAATCCAAATGAGCCAATGGAAACGGAACATGGGAGTCGACAGGAGCGTAGTCGCTACAAGACCATCGAATGGACGGCCTATGAGAGTGTGCATAAGAAATTCTTGAATTTCGGTGAGTAAACTGAAAAAGTTTCAAAAGAATTAGCTAATGAGATTTTGAACAGTGTGAACCCTTTTTAAATTAATGAACAGTTAAAAGGCAAACAATTATACCCATTAGATTCTTAACATTCTGAAATTACAAACTAAACTTGAATAATGAAATCGATTCTCACATAAAATTTGACACATCGCGTTAGATTTCTGTTCATTTAATAATTCAAAAATATGTACAGATTTTCGATAGCTGTCAAAATCGAATTATCATTTCTATTAAATTGTTAGTTAGTCGACTTGTTGCATGATCTAGTTTTAATATTGTAACATCTTTAATCTCCACTGCAAACAGACACCAAGCCGAAATTAAAGAATCATTATCGCGCGCATCGTCTCTCCTTCTGGCTGAATCTAATACCCGATCTGCACAAGCCTGGGGGCGACAACGTGCCCGCTTCGCATCATCAGCTGCACGACGACGACGAGTTGGACAACAACATTGCCAGCGATGCATCCGTGAAACCCCTCAACCCATCCTACACTTCGCGGGGTGCCAATGCAGCTGCCATGGGCAACTACACGATATTCACGAATCAGGTCTTTTCGCTGCTGAATCTCAGTTCGCCCTCCTCCTCGCTGCAGCGCAATGGCACACGCTACGGCAACGGAAAAATCTATCCGGATGACATGCTCGATGCGGATCATGCTGGCGGTGCAGCAAGTGCCTCACAGGATAACGACGGATTCGCTGCGTACTCTACAGCGCTGAGCGTAACGATTGCGATTGGCTGCTCGCTGCTGATACTCAATGTGCTTATCTTTGCCGGCGTCTACTATCAGCGGGATAAGACGCGGCTCAGCGAGCCGCGCACGCAAACAAAGCTCAAGCGACAGGAGAATGGCCAAATGCCGAATAATATATGCGGCGATCTGGAAACGCTGACGATACACGCGAAAAGCGATCCGGCTACTATATTGTCGCATCATCATGCCATGCAGCATCATCAGCTGCCGCCGCCTGAATTTGCCGATATACCGCATCGTGCACCGCCGCCCCCAAAACACATGAAGTCTTCCATGCAGGATGGTGGACAGGGTGGGGGTGGTGGGGGTGGTATGTTGCCGCCGCCGCATGCGCTGCAGGTGCTGGGCAATCAGTGCGGCACACTGACCAAAAAGAGCTGCATGAAGCAGACACAGGCAGCAGCACAGGCGCAGCAACAGCAGCAACAACACTCGCCCGCACAACAGCAACATGTGGTAACGCATCAGCAACATATGCAGAATCATCATAATCAAAGCATGACCACGGTGCTGACCACGTCAGGAGGCCTCATGCCAGTGCCCACGCCGCCCACAGTGCCAGTGATTGTGGCCACAACAACGCAGCAGCACTCACAGCAGCAGCAACAGCAACAACAGTCACAGCAGCAACATCCGCTAATGGATGAGTTGCGTGTGTGACATTAATTGACGGTGCGTTTCAAATGTGATCTATAAGCTATGATCTCAAAAGCGCACAGTCCACAAACTGTTTCAAACTTAGTGTGTATGGGTGTGTATGTGTGTGTGTGTGTGTGTGTGTGTGTGAGTGTGTGTGCCTGCTGTTAAATCAACTCTGTTAAATTAGTTGCAGAGTTTGCTTTACTTTTGCTGCCAGCTGTGAATGTTAAGCAACTTATGTAAAACGGTTCATTTCAACATGCATTTTATTGTAAATAAGAAAAAAGTGAAAAAGTTCAGTTTAAATTTTGTCACTTTTCCGAAATAGTTATTTGTTTCATTTCCTTTATTTGATTTACATTTTGCATCACTCTTGATTTTCTTACTAGGACCAATTCCCAATTAATTCCTAGCATAACAATCTGATTTTTCTTTTATGGTTTCTCAGAAATTAAATAAAAACTTGTAGCACAACTTTAAACTACAATTTCAAAATAATATAAAAATATATATGTACGTATAAAGAAAAACCAATATAAATGTTATTCTTCCAAAGACTGAATTCAAATTGTGTATGTGTGTAAATAATACAAATGCCTAGCTCTTAAAACAAAAAACAATATGGTATAAGCTGTACAACAACAACTAATCCAACAATAAATCTCCCACAAAAATAAAAGCAACCAAATTACTTTGCGGTCTTTTTTTCATATTGTGCCATGCACAGACTATTGTTTTAAGATTTCGAGTTTATGTTTAGCCTATTAAAAAGAATACCTCTCAAAATCTGCTTTTAAACCTTGTGTAGCCAACTTCAATAGTTAAAACTTAAATCCTTAAAATCAGAACTGTTGGTAGCAATTATAAAAGAGATAAAAAACAAAACGTTATTGCTAATTGTAAGCCTGCAGCTACTTTGTTATGTGACTAACTCAACTACATAAATATTTATATAGCTATTAATATTAAATGCATATACGACTACTGAATACAACAAAAACCAAACAAATTCCACAATTACGCGCATTGCCAATGAAGGACTTAGGAAATACCCTGTGCCCATATGTTCATTTACTTTTAATTATTGAGTCCTGTACTTAAATTTCTCTTCTTTGTCAACTTACTAGCAGAAGCGGATGATTATTTAAATGTGTAAACCAACTTAAAAAATGTAAAAATCATTAGCTCCTATAGCTTCCCCTCATCAGCCTGATATTAGGAAATTGTTTCAATGTTAATTGTATTTGCACTGCCATTTATGCATGCTCATGGGTACAGGGTATAGATGGAAAGAATTGCAACTGCAAATAGTTAAAAATTCAATTAGACGGAAATATATAAGAGCGAACAACATACCATATAGAATGTTCAGTTTTTAATTTTAAGCACCCTATTAACTAGCAAATGTCGAAAATGTAATTAAAAATGAAAGTGAGTTGCGAAAAATGGTCATGGAGCGGTTCATTAAAATTAAACAGTGCGAAAAATATAACAATTAAATTTGCGTGCATGTGAAAAATAATTGTATATTACATAAAAAAAAAGCAACAAAAAACCACAGCAATAACAGAAAAAAAAGTATTTAACGGCCGTAAAAACAAATGATACACTAAATGAAATAAATACGAAAAACTCTATAGCTCTATAGCTTATGTGTATGCGTATATATAGTTAATTGTAACGATGTAAAACTAGCATAAATATAGAAAAACACAAATACCAGAAAAATACCAATATATATAAATATATATATATGCATAATTATAGTGTGCCGCATAATTGAAAAAGAGGTAAAAAAAAAAGAAAAACCCAAAAGGATACATGTAATTAAAACATAAATTAATTCAAATTTATGCCATTAGAAATGTGTACGAATGAAAAAGTGCGAAAGAGTTCAGCATTCAAGTCTCAAAAAGAAATCAAATATAGAACAAATTAAACCATAAATAAAAACTGTTAAAACCTGTTCAAGAAACAGTTGAAAAACGACATTTCAGTTGGAAAACAAAATTTGAGTACTAATAAAGTTATAAAAATGTCAAAAATAAACTTTTTCATTTGGGTGCGAAGGAATTACATTACAAGCATATATATGTATATATCTTCAAGGACATCGAACAAATTGCTGAGGGCGCAAAAAATACAAAGTATGCAAAAGAATCGTAAATAAATGGCTATAACGAGGACTTTAAGAGGCAGTTAAGGCGCTGGGATCAATGCGATACGATGAATGTATGTTTGCTTATATAAAACAAATATGGCTGCACATACACACACACACACATGTACAGCTGTTAACCAAATATGCTGATAGTCGGGCAACTACATAAAAGAACTGAGAGCCTTATAATGCTCCCATTGATACATAAAAGCAGCAAACGATAGATAAAAGCTGCACACACACTCACGAAAAAAAAAACCATTGAAAATAGATTTATTATGCAAATTTGCTAAGGCATAAGTGAATCCCAGACGACTCGCTTTAGATACTCTGTAATCAATACATTACTTAGGTAGGGTGGCATTAAAACCCACAGGAATCATTGCCATTGTCGTTGTAGCGACATGGAATTGTTTAGGAGTATATCATGTAGATAGTAATTTTCACAGAGTATTTCGTAGTTTATCATGCTCATGCTCTATTGTTATAACTTGCTTTATGGCATGCATAGTGCAAGGCTTAACTGCTTAATTTGTTAGAACAAAAAAAAGGCATGGAAAGTTAAGAGCAGGCGTGGCTTTGGTCTACTTTAAATGTTTGCCTATACCAAACAGAGTGGGCCAGCGGAGCTTGATACGTATGCGAAAGTGTGCTCTTTGTAAGGCTTGCATAATTCACATGCGTAATTGAATCAAAAACATTTCGGCTAAATTGCTGGCAGCATCGTTAGCTGCTTTCTAACCATTTTCTTCTTGGCTCTAGATTTGCGTGATTTTTATTAGTTGCGATTTGCAGCCAGCGCAAATCCAATAGAGAAACACACACTCACATGGACTGTGTATAGAGAAAGGCAGTGAGGCATAGCGCAGGCATTTGGCCAATGAATTGAGAACTGGCAACTTGGCACATAATCCCTTTAAGTGCCGACAGTAAGGGCAGGGTGCAAGGATTTTGATTTCAACAAAAGTTGGTATAATTTTTTTTTGTTTTTTCTTTTTTTGCATGTGTTGTTTCGGTAATATTGCACAGCAGCAGCAGGAGCAGCAGGAGAAGCAGCACTGTTAAGAGAAGATGGGCGTAGCATGCTGTGAGTGGGCGGTGAGCTGCCACATGCTGTGCTTAATTTATTAGCACAAGCTTGAAAATTAAATAATAAAAGCCTTGCAAGTGGCTCTGTGCGAATAGAAATTATCACTTTTAATGTTGCCAAAAAGGCCACGACTCGGAACCGACCTTACCGGGGCGTAATGGGCATAGAATAGTTTAGCTGGGCGTGGCGCCAAAGCAAGCTTATTCTCAGCGCTGAAAGTTGATAATTTATGTTGCCAAATCTGTTGGAAATTACTTTATACGCTAATAAAAGTATTTGCAAAACAAGCAACTTAATTTTAGGTGAGTGAGCGGTCCTGAAATAAATTCAACGAACACACAACCCACCTCCCTTGCCGTGTCAAGTAAATTATCTCATATAAACAGTTACACTAATCGTACATGGGAACTATCGAGTTCCAACATTAATTATTTAAATCCATTTTTATATATTGCTTTATATACAAATTCTTTTATTTTTTGTATATTAGTTTGTAAGGATTACTTGTATTGATATTTTTATTGAATTCTGCACAAAAGCCTTATTTATTTATTCCAATATACATTTTTAAATAATAATTTTAAAAAATAGTCAGAATCACTCTTTAAATAAAACAAAAGTTATATACTATTTTCTATTCTTATATACATTATTGATTATTCGATATATCAGTGACATATGAGAGTATTTGATATTTCACATTCAAACAATTCGCATAACTTTTTTTGTGGTTCCCAAAAATAAGGAATATCACGCTAAACTCCGTGGCAACGAGTTCTGTCCAGTTAAGAACTTTTTAGTACATTTCATTTTATTGCACATCAGCGATAATCCAAACCAAAATTGAGTGCAGAGTTTTTCACAAGAAATCCACTTTGAGCTCAGAAAAAAATGGTCCGAATCCCACACAAATTTCATGTAGCAAAAACGTAGAAATATTTTAAAATTCCGCACAAATTGCGCAACTTTCAGCTACGCCGTAAAGACTAGACGTATTAAAAAAGTTAAATAGAACTCGTTGCATTAAATCGTAAGCGAAAAAAAGGAGCAAAAATAATGTTCCACACATTATACCACTTTGAACGACAAACTTTATTTCAAGCAATTAGTTCGTATTATTTTTTTCAGCTCACTTTTATATATATATATTTTTTTTTATTCATGTATTTGTATTTGTTTTTCAACTTTTTAAATATTTTTATACGTTTTAAAAGTTTTATTAGTTGTTGACCAAAATCTCTGGCTGTTGAGTTCACTGCACTAAATGAAAAAAAGACAACAGCTCCTTTGCAAAAACAAACTTTGTGCATTGCCTTCTCGTTTTGTAATACTTTTGCCATATAAGTAGATACATAGCTAGCACATGGTTATAGTGCCACACATCGAATCCAAATCCACTCACCCACAATTCATTGGGCAACAAAGCCAAACTTTTCAATATGTAATGAATCATATATGTATGCGCAAACCTTTAATCCGTTTGTTCTAACAATCTTTCAATTCTCAAAACAAAATCTCATTATTAGCATACCGTGCACAGATTGGTAATGAATGAATGATTTGTATTGCCAGTATAAGTCAGTGTACTTGGAATATAGTTGGTAGTCATATTCCAAATTTAGAGATAAAATGATTTATTTGTTATATTTTAGATGTTATTTGGGTGTAAGGTATCGGCGAGCAGCATTCGATGGCTGTCAATGTCTCAAACTGAACCGACAAGTGTCGCATGTTGTGATTTCTAATGTTAAGCTACTTTTCATGTACCCAATAATACATCTTCTGCCCCCAGCAATCCAACTCTCTCTTCAAAATCTTGTTGCGCACGAATGCACACAGCAAAGCGAAATCAGGCCAAATTCAAAGATGAAGCTGACGCAGCTCATCCCAGTTCTCCTGAGCTTTGGACGACCATAGAGCGACGCAATTATTTATGTTTCTTATGCGATGACGTTGTATATAAACTAACTCCCTCTCCTAGTCAAATGCAGCTCGTCCTTGTTGACTTAATAATCCAATAGTGCATCGATTGGCAGCTCCATCTGTTTGCGTTTAGTAACTATATTGAAAGTTTTGAAATAACAACCTGTGCTAGACTGATTGAAACCCAAGCAAACCTAGTAACGCAGGAGAGAACAAATCATATAAAACTGAATGACTCCAAAATTATATGAACTTTATTAGTTCACAAATCCAAAGAGCCTTGCTTGCCAAACTC